TTTGTTGTAGAAAAAGGTAAATTGAAGATTAGCAGACCACCTGGCACCTGCATATTATGAGCTGTGTAAAAAAAAAAAGACCGATTCGTTCAAATACACAAGCCTGTGTCATCTCGATTGTTTACCAAGAAAAAGTTGTGTTGCTGTGTAGAGCTGAGCATACAGCAACTTTTGATTCCATAGATCAGCGCACAATTCATTACGTAGATCTACGTCAAGATTAGCTTATTATTGTAATAATGATCAGTTGCTAGGGGGAAAAAGACTGACGCGTATGCGACGTTCAACGCCCGGACCGATAGTGCCCCCCACCCCCCCCTCCCTGACACGCACACAGCCACACGTGTGCAGGCCGCCCATCCGACCCCGACACACGCTAACGAGCCATCTTTAATTGCTTCTGATGATCTCTTGACAAATAAACATTTATTAGGAGCGCTATAACTTTTCAGGCCGACCTCAAATTCATCATAAGATAACAACTCGGCTCCTGCACAAAACGCCTTTATGCCCGAAGTAATCCCAGTCTCTACCCAGCCTGAGGCGAGTCACGAGTGAGGCAGGACAGGAAGCCGGAGTCACGAGTCACAGGAAGTCGGAAGTCGGAAGTGATGTCATGCTGGACAAGAATCAGAGTCCGAATAACATTTTTTCATATTCGGACTCGAGTCGCAAAAGTAAATTAATTTGGTTGTCTACAAAGATGCTACGGCTATTTAACTTTTCGAATCGAGCCGAACTACGTTCTTTTGACCGGAAGTTCTCGCGCTACTCCTCTCTCTCTCTCTCTCCAGTGGCGGTGGGTGGACCAAAACTTGGGTGGGGCTTAGGTTGCTTCCAGTTCTTTACCACCAAATAGCAAGCAGTAAGAATTAAACAGTGATGATTTTTCTATACTCACGATGAGCCACGTCAGTTTGAGAACGATTCAAACGAGAAGAGATGCCTTTGTTTTCCATCTCTTTGTTCTTAGTTAAATTCTTGTTGATGGTGGGGACGAAGCTGATTCACCTCCAAATTTCCTCTAATTAGTTTTCGTGTGATGAAAAAGTTGTCTTACAAGTTGTTCGACCTGATTTATAACTGTTAAATCTCACCGGCACGAACACAAACATGAACACACAGCACTTTAAACAAAATACTTCTTTGAGCTGGATTAGGCCGTGTAGTCGAGAAAGTGGAACGCACCCAACAAAGAACCAATGAGCGCATAGGTATCTGTGTCAGTGGGGGAAAGTGTGTCGTAAACTTTCACCCTGTAGTCAGGGCTAGGAGAGCGTGAGCCCTCGGTACAGTGTTATTTTTTCCCAGACTTCTACCTTTTTACAAGAAGATTTCATTAAGGACGGGCTGTGGGAAAAGGGCTCGTCTTTGCTGAGCCCTAAAGACATTTGATTGGCTGCTGGGTTACTATAGTTGTAAGCGGTGACAACAGTGATTGGATAAGCGAGCAAGCCGCCAAGTTGATCACTCTGTGTTCATTGTGTGCGGTCATAACGGTTTCAACTGCTTATTTCATTATTGAGAAACTCTCATTTGCTTTGGGATAGAGTTGGGGGGTCGTGGGTGGGGAGGGGTTAGGGGCTCAAGCCCGTGAGCCCTTTACTACCCACCGCCACTGTCTCTCTCTCTCCACTGCCCACAGACAAAATTGTACGCTTTTAGTAGGCTACAGTTGTAATGGAACGTTTGTTCATGGCACAGAATTCTACAATTTTTCTGTTATCACAGAGTAGAATTCTGTGGTTCAGGGTGAACGCAAAATTTGTTGGCCTAGATCTAGGCTATAAAACGGTGAACGCGCACCGGGTGAGAATAGCCAAAAGACTCGCCTGCACTATTCTCACCCCGGCCCGGGTGAGAATAGAGGTGGCCTGTGAAAAACAATTAGGTAAGATTGTACTTTACCGGACCACCGGTCAGAACTACTTTCGCTATGGCGCCCCTGGTGCCTAGTGGCCCGCTATTCTTCGTTTCCGAGCTCCCCTACTCACTCTCCTACTCAGTTTTCTACATCCTCACTCTTCAACTGCCAGCAATCGACTGACGTCTCTTACCGGGTTTTTCAGTCATCACGACCGTGCCACCGTGCCCTTTGACCCATGACCCTGACATCTTGAAGCTAATTGGTCAATCTTATCACGTGGTCCACTATTCTTATTTGCTCGCAACTCTGCTGGGTGGCCTAGGCCTACTCCTGGTCCAGCAAAGTACAATGGAGGGCTAAAGATGCACACGAGAGCTCATTTGCATAATTGCAACCCCCTCGGCCCTGCTCGCGACTTGGCGAGTATCTACCCCGATTGTCCGCTCATGTTATTGTTTATAATATGTGTGTGTCAGTGACTTTAAATTATTGTTGCCAGGGGGACTAGCCCCCATGAAACCCCCCCTCCCCCCACTGTTGTTACATTGATATGTAAACACGACTGTCCGCTCATGTTATTGTTTTGCATTTTTGTGTGTTTTCTTTATTATAGTTTCCAGGGGGGCAAGCCCCCCTGAACCCCCATCCCCCTCCCCACTGTTGGTATGATACACGGTGGTTCACCAAAGTTAAATCCCCTGCCCACTCTCAACCACCAACTCTCGCTCACCTCGCCTCGCCAGTTGCCGCTGGCTTGCGCTGTGCGTGCGCGAAGTCGCCCGCGGAACTACCTTTTGTCCGCACACAGAGTACTATGACTATGAGAGCGTAGTTAGGCTAGGTGTGCGTAGTAATCACGGACCGAGACGGGTGGTCCGGTAAAGTACAATCCAGCCAACAATTATAATAAATAGTGACACTCTTTTTGGCTGAGTGAACTAGATCTCTTGAACCTTCCAGTTACCGTGTACGTAGACCCTAAGACTATGTGTATGCGCCCGGTTACTGTGTACGTAGACCCTGAGCCTGAGGCTACGCGCCCGGTTACCGTGTACATAGAAACTCCGTTTCGGTTACACTTCGTAAAATAAATATAAGTTACTAGTAACTAGATCTAAATCTCTAGACCTAGTCGGGAAGGTAGAGTCGTCTCGCCTTGCGGCCTTCCCTTCATCTTCGTTGATTGTGTTTGCTGGGGGAGTCCCTCCTTACAGGAATTCCTTCCTTTTCAAATTCAAACATTCCATACGTATCTAGATCTAGATCTAGATTTCTAGATCTAGTATTCGTCAGTGCTGACGACTGTGTTGGCCATCATTTAGAGTTCGCAGAAATACAGAGTGCTGGCCTGAATGATTGAGATTGGTCACAATATTATTGGAACGAAAATTGGTGCTTCGGTTTGTTTTGGTTAACTGTGAATAGTGTGAAGCAACGCACACATTCAACATCATTGTCAACATTCAACATTGTACACGGAGAAAATCTCAACGGGTCTCAGCGTTATCCACTCACTCACCGTATAAACTCACGGTCCAGTTACGACAAGTCAACACAGTGACAAAAGAAGTGAGGTAGGCCTACCCTACTGTAGAGACAATTTCCTCTCTGACCAACACGACAACAAAGATGCAATTTTACAACTGGATTGTAACTGAAGGCCGGAACAACGGAAGCAACAACGTTGATGGACCGGCTGGATCCGACCGAGTGCCAATCGTTCACAGTGCGGGTTGCCAGATCGATCAGTGGTCTGTGGCATCTTGTGGTGTTGGCTTGGCTAAGGACTAGCCTAAGGACTATATTATTATCTAACATTGTCAAACCAGATCTCTTATAAGCTAAGATTGAATTTAAACTCTTAATGGGCCATGAGTTATCAGCACATTATAATCAAACAGTGTGAAGAACGGCACTGATGCATCGAAGTTTGGTACAGAACAAGGAGTTTAGAACTACTTTTAATCTCCTTGGTACAGAACGAGTTCACTTCTCTCTAAAAGTATTTGTTTTGATTGATTTTTAAAGAAATAAAACGACATAAACTGCTATTAATAAGCTTACATGAAACATCTCTCTTGCATGATTAATGTTGTTTCTTGATAAGTTAACAACACCAACAAGTCTTGCATTCAAAAGAAACATAAATTATGATGTATTTCCAAATCCTTATACTTTCTTTGTACATTTCTTCCCGGCCACGATTTTCAATAACATTGGTAATTCATGAGAAAAATTACCCCCCCCCCCCTGTGCTATTCAACAGTAAACAAACCCATATACTAATCTTCTTTTTGTATTATTAAAAGGGAAAATTTAAGCTCTGGTAAGGTTCATGCATAAATTTTCACCTTTGACAGCACAATAATGTTAGCTTTGGCTGCAAGTCTCCGGATTATAAACAAATCGAATGGCAAATTGGCAAGAAAAGACAAAGTGGTAGCTTTTCAATCCAGATCAAGATCTACCAGAATTTCTCGACTTTTCAGTAGACTTACTAGTACTGAATTTGCACACATACGCACACAAAAGGTTTCTCAGCGATATTACTAATGATTGTGTTCTTTAGGCCTAAGCATTGATTCCTTTTTTTTCAAATCGTTTTATACTTTAGCCAGTACATTTCTTCTTTCATATAGAACCTAAGGCACGTTTCTTTTCTTTCATGAACACACTCCAGATGATCAATGATTGCAACTATCTTTGATATTATAGGTAGCCTATATTGATATTCATTACTATTAACTGCTATACGAGATTTCGCAAAATTTATTGTCTCTTCCAGACGCGCTAGAGCGCCGCCAAAAAGCCTTGGGCCTTTAAGGATCTGTTAGACAAAATGTACGATTTAAGCGTCATCAT